GTCATCACTGCGGGCTTTGTCACTGAGATAGGGTAACCCATGGTTACTGAGCTCAGATCAGTTAAGGGGCAGAGAGCCTCCCCTCCTCACTGCTCTATAAAAGAGACCCAGCAAAGAGACCCTACCAGCTTCTAGCTCTCAGCCTCGACGAACGTGTGAGAAGCAAAGCTGGAGCCCTCTGGAGCAGAAAGCACCAGCTGCAGAGGCAAGGCCGGCATGGCTCCTGCTTTCAAACTTCGATGCCACTTCATCCTGATCTGCCTGATGGCTCTAAGAGGGGAGAGCCGGTACCTAGAGGTGAGCGATCCCGGGCTGACCCATCACACCTTCCTTCCCTCAGTGTCCATCTTTGAGGGGTGGGCAGGCTGCCTATGCTCTAGCTCTTCCTCCTCTATTTACTGTGCCCCGTTTCCCCTCGTTTCCCCTAGGGCTCCCTTCCTGCCTCTTCCTCCTTCCCTCTGGCGCCTGGGGATACCTTGGTCTGATACTACACCTTCCCGTCTTCTCTCTACCCGGGAGACGCTGACCCCGTCACTTTACTCTCTCTGCTGCGGGGCAGTGAGGGCGCCTCGTTCCTGGTCGGTCCCCTTTCCCCTTAAACTTTTCCGGACTGACCCATTTTCCTTGCCAGCTGCGAGAAGCGGTGGACCAGGACCCTTTCCTACTCTTCAGCGCCAACCTGAAGCGGGAGCTGGCGGGGGGGCAGCTGTACCGCCGCGCTCTGCGTGAGTCCGGGCTGCTGGGCTCGCATCCTCGGGCAGCGGGGAGGTGGGGAGGTGGGGGCTCTGCGCAGAGGGCAGGCGACTCCCGGGCATCGCCAGGAAGGGGCTGGCCACAATGGCCAGGGGTGCGCTTCCCATCGCGAACATCTGTCCGAGGAGGCAGGCGCTCTGGGGCGAGTTGGGGTGACGTCCCCAGGGACGCGGGAGCCGGGCGCAGCTGGGACTTCTGGCGCATGGAGACGGACTGCTGGGGGCCGGCACCGCCTTGGTTGCAGCCGCGGCCCCTCAGCCCCTCTACCCTCCCCAGGGTGCCTGGACATGCTGAGCCTCCAGGGCCAGTTCACTTTCACCGCCGACCGGCCGCAGCTACACTGCGCCGCCTTCTTCATCGCGGAGCCCGAGGAGTTCATCACCATCCACTATGACCTAGTCTCCATCGACTGTGAGGGCGGGGACGTCCTGAAGGTGAGGCGCCCCTGCCCGGTGCAGCCCCAGCCGCCGGTGTGCTGCACGGGGAGCCGGGGACGCTGGTAATTAGATGCTCCGCTGCTGCCGGAGTTGGCGAGGCGCGCTCCGAGACCCCACGCAGCTCGAACCTCGTCCAGCTGCCTGGGACGTCGCAGTGGTTTAAATTCCCCTCTGTGCACTCTGAGTCCTGGGCGTTTCGAAAGACTTGAACTCGCCGCGCGAACCCCTGTGCTGCAATCTGGGGCAGGTGAAAAGTGGTCCAAACCAACTAGCACGAGCGCTCCGGTCCCTTGAGCCCGCGGGTCCCGGTTAGAAGCCGGCCCCACACGTCTGAGATGCGAGCCCGCCTCGCTCCTGCTGGTCCCTTTCTCTATGAAGCTGTTCCAGGCTCCCAGAGGCTGTCTTCAAAGCCTGGGTGACCCGATTTTGGAACCGAAGGGCACTGGCTGCTGGGAGGGATGCTGAGAAGGAATCTAGTCTGAGGCAGGTGGGAGGTGAGAATAAGACCCCCCCCCTCCAGCATGCCCGTTCCCGGTCGTTTTCTGTAAGTCTAACGGGTCAGCTTGGGGTGGCTGCTGGAGTTTTACAGTCCAATTAAAATGAACATGATTAAAACCCCAAAGTGGAATTATTTTGGACACTGTCAAACGCAATAGAAGAGGGCTGATTTGGTGAAGTAATTTTTGTAGCTGGTGATTTTACTAACGTGAACTAGGTTGTGCTCATTAAATTGGGGACCTGTGGTGATTTTAAGAGTAAAGTCAATAAACTCTGACCTTTTGTCTGATGAACTGCGCACTTTAACAAATGAAGGGGAAAAGTCCTGACTGGAATACCAGCCATCATTGTCTAAGTGTTGAAGAAGTTCTCGATATTTGAATATGTGATAAGAGGGAAAAAATGAGGGAAATGGGTGTGTGTAACCATTGGCAGGTAGGTAAAGCTGCTGCTCCAATTTTTCTTCTTGCTGTCTATTTTTGAGATATTTTGTTATATTTTAACAAGGAAAGAGAGAAACCGAAACCCGAGTTACGGTCCTGTGTAATTCTTCTGAAGGTAGGATGTGTGGAAAATATGAACAAGACAAAAATGTGTATTGTCTGTAGTTTCATTTACCAAGGTAAATGATAAAGTTTAAGGAAGCTTATTTGCTTTGGAAGTTTAGAGTTTATAAAGGGGGAGCAATAAATAATTTAAAAAATGACTTGCAAACAATTCACGGTCAAAATATATACAAATGGAAAGCAAGTGTTCAGGGGGGTGTAGGCTGGCAATTCTTCACTTATGACTGACAGTTTATTGCTGGGTAACCTTTTCCCCTTTTCAGCACACCTATGACTTCAGGAGTTCATGAAAGTGATCATCTTTGTCTGTATTTTTTGTTGGAAGGTATTTGATGGTTGGATTCTCAAGGGGGAGAAGTTCCCCAGTTCCCAGGATCATCCTCTGCCCACAACTGAGCGGTACATAGATTTCTGTGAGAGTGGTCTTAGCCGAAGGAGCATCAGGTCCTCCCAGAACGTGGCCATGGTCTTCTTCCGGGTTCATGAACCAGGAAATGGATTCACATTAACCATAAAAACAGATCCTAACCTCTTTCGTAAGTGGACTCCCTGTCTTCTCAGTTAGAAGGCAGGATTTGAGAGGAGGGAGGGTCAAATCTGCTTTTCAAAGGTAGTGTCATTGCACAAAGTTAAGAAATTTGAAGTGGAGGAATTATATGAATAGAAATTCTTTTGTAATTACAAATGACCTAAAGGATATTTCCTATTCATTAGTATGAAAATCAAATCAGTTTTTAATTTATTTCCTAGGCTAGGTAGGATACCAATTTATGATGGATAGAATTCTATTTTTTTCTCCAGTCTTATTCTGATCTCCTGCTCTACTACAATGCATTCAGTGACAAACTTTAATCCCTCCAAGTCATTCCATTGACCTGGATAAGCTTAAGGGGTCAGATATGAAGTTGCAGTCTTAGAGGTATTTGGGCAAATGCTGAAAGACGGCATATCTGGAATGTGTAGACAGATTTCATGCTCTGAGCAGAGGGTTGGACCAGAAGGCCTCAATGTTGCCTTCTGAGTCTGAAATCACTGCTCTAATTTAGCTCATTTCTGATGGATACACAAATAGATGCTATAAAGCTCAATAGTCCAGGCTTAAAACACATTATCTTAACCAAAATGCATTCATTTATCCACTTATTTTTTCCCAGTAAGAGGAAAATTTTTATAAAAAATTAGGAAAAAATCATCATTTTTGGTTGCATACAATACTAATATTAACACTTCATGTGGCTGAAGAATGAGGCATACCTAATCTGCCAAAAATAAGACACTGACTAATTTTCCAATTTTATTTTAAAAAACAAAAAATTTTTTTGAAAGAAGCCCTACAAAAAGGCTGTTTCCGAGAACTGGAGCAGAATAATCCTAGAGGATATATGTACTGTTTCTCCTATATCCTGTTTGGGTAGAAATCAGAAACCTTCTAGAATCATCAAGGAATTTCAGTTCCTTATCAAAATTAAGTGAAATCAAAAATATAAGAAGGAGGCAAGAGGTAGTTCGGACATATTCTGATCAGTCAGAAACTTTTGTCCCAGTAATTGGCCCAAAAAAAGTACAAACTCGGATGCTTCAAGTTTCATAGCTAGAAGAATAAATTTATTGTAAGTCTGTTTTGAGATACAAAACAAGATTTTAGAAAGTCTTGGGAGTAAATTATACATTAAACATTTACCTTTTAGTCAACTTATCACTTAATGCCCAGTAAATATTTATCAGACATAAGCCTGCTTTCTATTTTTCTCAGCCTACTTTGTAACTGTTTTTATTATTTATTTACTTTATCATCTAAAAAGTAGCATATGGCTCCAAGCTGAGTTAATAAATGTTTCAGACAGACAGGATTTGAGTTGTGGCCTCACCTTTAAGCCTTGATTCTTCCAGACTTCCACCTTGAACCCTAGTTAACAAAGGGCTCCTAGAACTTCTACCAGCTAGTATTGTTTGGTTGGTTATTTTTTTTAATTCTTATTTTTTATTGAAGTGTAGTCGATTTACAATGTTAGTTTCAGGTATACGGCAAAGCAATTCAGTTATATATATATATTTTTTTCAGATTTTTTTAGTATTGCTTTGTTGGTTATTAATTTATGTCTTATGATTGTTATTAACAAGGTAACCCCCTGAGATTAAGATTAGAAGATGCCTTGCAGCCCAGGGACTCTTGATAATGTCCCTACATGACTGATGGTTTTATTTCCCAACTCGTTCCAGTCTTCAAATTGCCTTTGTGATATGTACTCTCTTTGGGGCCACAAGCCCCTAGACGGTGAATAGGAACTTAGAATAAGGATAAGATAGATTTTTATAAAAGCGCAGCATACTAAGTAGTGAAAATGTGATTTTGTTTTTCCACAAAGCCTGCAACGTCATCTCCCAGACCCCAAATGGAAGGTTTACTCTGGTAGTTCCACATCAGCATCGCAACTGTAGCTTCTCCATCATTTATCCTGTGGTGATCAAAATATCTGATCTCACCCTGGGACACTTAAATGGTCTGCAGTTAAAGGTGAGTTACTTCCTTGCTTTCCAATCACTTCCTAAGGCTCCAATTTTATCAGAGCAAAAGTAATCAGACAGGGCAAACTTGTACTGAGTGAATTGGAATGGTCCGTCCTCCTCTTTGACGGTTGCATCTCACATGAGCTTGTCCTCACTGCTTTAATAAACCCCTCTTCTATTTCCGTTGTGCTACAGGATGCACACTCAGGTGCCCCTTCTGACTCTCTCAGTACTTTCTTGTGATGTAAGGAATGTTTTCAATTGGTGAAGTTGTGGCATATAATTACAATTGAACTCTCTTGTACTTGCCTCTTTAACAAAAATTCTCTCCTAGCAGAACCTAGTGTGAGTCATCTACACAGCTGCTTTTCTGATTATTGGAATTCTCTTTTGACATGAAGGAAGTATCTCATCGACAGAGCTGTGTTATGAAGGAATGCTAAGTGTAGCAGAAAATACGAAATTGGATTTTTATATTGCAAAATGTGGTAAAGTTTTGAAGTGGTTTTTTTTTTATCACATTTAATTCCATACATTTTGCAACCAAACATTAGCTGAGAATCCCATCAACTTTTTTCCCCATGAACTTCTGTATGGACTTGACAACTAATGGTGAGCCTGACCACATTTATTTGCACTGGTAGCTTGTGTCTGCTGAGTCATCTTCATTTCCTTTTACTTTCTTTTATGCCAAGGTTAAGATAGCTTATGCATTTGCTGGCATCAAAGATAGTCATATTTCCTGATCATAAAGATTTCGGCAAAAACCAAATAAATAGGACTAGGGCTGAGAACAGCAGTAGATCCAATTTTCTGTAAGTCCTAAATTCATAGGGCAGTGCCTACTTTTATTTTCAAGTTGGACCTTAGTTGTAGAATAATGCTTTAATAAACACCAGGACAAGTGGATGTCTCTGGCATAGCCTTACTGGCTTGAGATTGTTTGTATATCATTCTTGATGTATAAAAAGGAGAGAGCAAGTGTGATAGATTGGGGGGTCTGCACTTTAGTTATTCTTGGCTACAAGGAGTCATCTTAGTGCCTACTGTTTAAAAAAATGTTAAGTCTGCAGGGTTCTATGTATCTGTTGCTTTACAAGAGTTTTGAGGGATTTTTTGTTTGTTTTTGAGTGCTTACCATATGCAAGGCATTAATCTAAATGCTGGAAATTAGCAACAAACAAAGCACATTCTGCTTACGTGGAACCTGCATTCCAGTGGGAGAAGAGGCAAAGATAGAATGTATTTCAAGTAGTAGTGAGTGTCCTGCAGAAAATGAAGTGGAGTGGTGGCTGGGACAAGGGAGTAGAAGGAGGGGTGGGCAGCTACTTGAGATAAGACAGTCAGTAAAGAAATCTTCTGAGGTTGAGTCATTTAAAGTGAGACTTGAGTGATAGGTAAGAAGGAGCCAGCAGCCACAGGAAGAGCTGGGAACAGAGGAACAGCAGTGCAGAGGCTCAGAGGCAGGAATGGACTTGCTGAGCTCTAGAGATGGAAAGAAGGAAAGATACGGCGGAGGAGGTGGTGGGGGGGCATGATACGACACAGCATCAGGGAGATGGGCTAGGCAAGGGCGTGGAGAGCCCAGCAGGTCACATTAAAGAGTTTGGGTTTATTCTGAGGGCAGTGGGAAACCACCAAAGGAATTCAGGCGGGAAAGTGACATAATCCGTTTGATTATGCTCAGGTGGGGTGAGGGCGGTTGGGAGTTGCTGGCCTCATGACAGAACTAATTAATGAAGTCCAAGGTGGGAGGGAGAGGATTACCTAAAGGTCATTCTGGCTTCCACAGATGATGATGAATGGACTGTCGGGGCCAGAGTGAAGCGAAAGTGCACCTAAAGGGCCACTGTCATAGTCTAGGCAAGAGATGGTGGTGACTTAGTCCAGGGAGGTGGAACCTCAGCAAAGAACTCTTGAGGATCACTGTTAAGGTGTGAACCCTAGAGGTCCCTACACAATTCAGCTTCTGCCACTGTTTATAAGAACAGCTGGGAGGTTTGGAAATAGAAAAGTCACTGAACTCCAAGGAGCATGTGCATCCAACTTCCTTGTTTCTTTGTTTTGTTCCCCTTATTTTAGCTTCTACCTCTTCCCAGCTTCCTTATTTCAAATTTTCCTCTCCCCAGCCCGCCTTTCCCCCTTCACCTCCTCCTGCTGAAATCTGGAACCTATAGAACCAGGTGGAAAGTTTAGTCTTGAGATGTTCCCCCTGGACATCCTCTGCTCAAGGGAAAGACAATTAGGTTTTTTATTCCCTTTACCTCTAAATGGCTTATTCAACTCTTCATACAAGAACATGGGCCCAATACACAGTGGGGCTAATTAACCCTCTCATCATTTGATGAGATTGTGTGTAAATGACCTAACTGTAGAACTGAGCACACAGTTGGTGCTTTAAAAATATGTCTCCCACCTGCTTCTTCTCATTAGCCAAGCAGTTGCTGTCGTATTGTTTTTCTATTTATGGTTTAGTGCTAGTTGTATTTCAGTATCTCCCAAATGTTGGGGTGGTGTGTTCATGTGTGTGTGTGTTTAACATTCTCTGGGTTAGATTTTGTCCCTACATGGAAGGGTCTATCTGGTTCACTTCTAAGCACCTTGCCACCCTCCACTGGATCTCTTGATGAGTGTGCCTCAGTGAATCAGAGTATCACAGGCAAATCGCCTGTGTAATTTGTAGAAGACAGTACAAAATGAAAATGCCGGGGCCTTATTAAAATTAAGAATTTCAAGGGGAGAGGGTATGGCTCAGTGGTAGAGTACGTGCCTAGCATGCACAAGGTCCTGGGTTCGATCCCTAGTACCTCCATTAAAATAAATAAATAAGTAAACCTAATTACCTGACCCCCTTCCCCCCAAAAAAAGAATTTCAAGACAGTGACAGCATTAAGCCAAGCACTAGGCCCATGTAAGTGTGGGCCCTATGGGCATGGGGGGCGGCAGGACCATGAGGCCAGCCCTAATCACAGGAGACAGGCGACGCAAAGTGCCACATCTGGGACTGAGAGGGGCTGCTTTGTTTGTGTGGGAAAGTGATGCACGGGAATTGCTGTGGACGAGACTGTGTGGAAAGGACAAAGGGAAGCAGGAAAAGGTGGTTACAGTGGGTTACACAAAGCCTTTGAATAGATTCTTGTTTTGAGTAGCTAGAAATCAATTTATTTTGTTGGACGGAGAAAGGGGATGGTAACTCTAGCTAATTTGAGCCCCAAATTAGAGTTCTCTTCTTTCTTTAATATTCTTTAAAAACTAATCTAAATCCTTATCAGTAGAAATGATAAGGATTGTCTGCAGAGAAAGTCTTCTATAAAGAAGAGGAAAAGAGGTAAGTTGAAGGAAGAACTGATGTGGAAGCTCTATTTATAAAAACTCTGACTGCATGCACTAAGAAATTCCAATAATTCAGTGTGTGTGTCCAAATGGTTTTAAAAGCAAAGCATTTTCAGATTCAATTTTCATACATCTCATATGGCGTTTACAGATGCCCATTTCATCATTCTAGTCCTTGAGCTTATAAAAAAAATTTTTTTTGAATGCACACGCATTTTAAAAACATGATTACTCAACTGATTTAGAAAAGCAAATCTTTGGATTTTTTTTTTCTTTTAAAGGTCTTTTAATCTCCGGGGTCCTGGATTTTAAATTAAATAGCACTGCCAGGATGTCTAGGGCTGACGGAGTGAATTCACCAACTTACCATTGATAAAATGGTTCAACTTCCTTAATCGGTTTAAATGCATCTTCCTCTGCTGCTTGGTTCTCTCAGAAGTCCTCAGCAGGCTGTGGGGGAATTGGAGACTTCGTGGAGCTGCTGGGAGGAACTGGACTGGATCCCTCCAAGATGACGCCTTTAGCTGACCTCTGCTATCCCTTCCGCGGCCCTGGTGAGATGTTGCTTTAATTATTATTCATGTGCCTGTCAAGACTGTTTCCTTCAATAAAACACCTCAAATTTTTTATCCACGGGAGGGCAAGTTGCAGCAAAAAACTTCTGTTTTGCGCATTGAGCCAGTGTGAGGATTTTTACGTTTGAGCCGATGTACAGTATCGAGAATGTGTGACCACAACATCTGACATTGGGAGAGAAACGTATAAAGTAATAAGGTTGTGTGTTTAAGGTTGGCCGCAGGTAAAACTATGAATAAGACAAAACTTTTTGGTTCTGTGCTCTTTCCACCTTCTTGAAGATCCCTGCTTTCATCTTCTAGAGACTAAAGAGTTTATCTACTAACTGAAAACTGACCGAAACTGGTTCAAATAGTGACTGTATCATCAATTAGTGTGGTAATGAAGTAATACCTAAATAACTTTACCATATATCTGTGTGTATTACTCCTAGTAGATACATTAAAAAATGATACGCTTTATTAGAAATTCTCAGAACTGCTGAATGTCCCCAACTTCCAGCAGCAAAACCAGCCTCTGAAACACCACTGCAGAAACAGGGAAACTCGGAAATCTTAAAGTGGTCTCCAGTAATAAAGGCCCAGTTTAGCACAGAGCATGCCAGACAGAACCAGATCTTCTTTGTTATGCATCAGTGAAGAGTCTGCATTTGATTAGGCTCAGGTGGGGTCAGGGGGGTGGGAATTGCTGACTTAAAACGAATTAATTAACGAAGTCCAAGCGGGGAGGGAGAGGGTTGCCTAAAACATTTCAGTGAAGGTCACTCCCATATCTGGACTTCAGATAAGGAATGGGGGTTATCTTTTAAAGAGACAAAAGTGAAACAGGAGAAGAGTCTTTCATCTCTTACCGTGGTCCCCTTCCTCTCTTGTACCACAGATCACTAACCAACTAAATAATGAAGCTACAAATCAGACATCCTTTTCATCGGCTGTTACCTGTTTGAATTACAGGTCTGCCCACCAGTATTTCCTCTCTCTGAGCTAAACAAACTTCTCCCAGATAGAATTAATATGCACAAGTAAGGGGAAAAGATTTCTAAAAACCCACTTTGTTGAAAAGGTGGGGATTAGTTATGCTAATTTACAGCTGAGCCCCGGTTTAAGCTGGTTCATTGTGGCTCCTCCGCCTTTTTGTGTGTGTTCCAGGAGGGGCTGGATCCTTCCATGTCACCAGAGGGCACCTGTGAGGAGATGCATTTGAGCTGGATTAAAAGATTAGACTGAGCTGAAGCACACTCGTGCCTTAAAATTTAGATAATTGGAGTCACAGTAATTTGGTACATGAATATTACCACTCGATTTAGGTAAAAGGTGTGACTGAGGCCAAAAAAACCACTTGTGCCTATATTATCTAGATAACTGAAACCCATCTTAAGATGATTTGAAGGCTTGAATTATCTGACTCATTGGTTCATTTTAGAGTTCACTTTTTTCTTTCACTCACAAGTTTCCATGAGCCCCTCCTAAGTTGCTCAGACAATGAAGAACTGTTAGGTACCCTGGCCATTATGTTGGATTTTATTAGGAATTACGTCAAATAATAAACAAATGATATGCACATTAACTAAAGGAAAGAAAGCATGTTATGTAGATCAAAGCTCAGAGGCAGATCAGAAAAGAATGACCTTCCAAATCAGATGAAGAAAATTAACTTTGGACCTCCTCATAGAAACTCAACCTAGACTCCCTGGTGCCTATATTAAAATAATTTTAGGATTTATATTTATTATGTCTCCAATTTGGCTTTTACCTACATGACTGCATCTGGCTGTTTTACTTCATTTAAACCCAGATGCATGTTTGTAAAGTACCTGTTATACAATGATAATAATGTTTCTCAGAAGTGAGGCTTTATAGAGACAAAGTGGTGGGGGGGGGAGATTGAGAAAATTAAAACAGCAGAAAGCATTACTGTAGGGCAGACAGATCTTGCCTCAGGAACCAGCTTGAGACTGGAGAAATAAAAGCAATTTTAATAAACATACTGAGTTTCACAAAACAGAAATAGACTCATATAGGTACAGAGAACAAACAGATGGTTGCCAGGAGGGAGGGGAGTGGAGAATTAAAAAGAAAAAATTGTTAGGGGCAGGGTATAGATCAGCGGTAGAGTGTGTGCTTAGCATGCACAGATCCTGGGTTCAATCCCCAGTACCTCCATGAAAAAAAAAAGAAAAAGAAAGTGGTAACTATGTGAGGTAATGAACACTAGTTAGCTTGCTTGTGGTGATCACATTGTACGCCTTAAATACACACAATTTCTGTCAATTATGCCTCAGTAAAGCTGAAAAAGTTTGTTAAAAGGATGCCTAAAAACCACACACAGCTTCAATACATAACTGCTCAGGCACATCTGCACTAGAAGATACATAAACACTGCCAGATGCTTCTCAAAATAATGAATAAGACTGTGCTTAAGAGAAGTAAGGATATCAAAAGTCATTCCATATAAGAAGTACAGAAAAAAATTAGAGGGACAATTTGCAGGTGAACAAGAACAAAAACAAGTCTATTCAGTGTATGTCTAAACCATGCAAATAATTTTTTGTTTATACATAAGACAGAATTATTATCTAGGCTCAAAAAAATAAACAGGTGATTTTTTTCTTAATTTGGTCAACGTAAATGTCTCACAGTACATACACCTCATCCTTTAGCCCTGCCCACTAAATGCCATTTGCACCTCTAGATATTACCAAAATCTGCCCCTGCAAATTTCCAACCTGTCCCTAGAGGGCAGTACTGCCCCCACTGAGAACACAACTACGGCAATGGTGCAGATGGACCGACGCTTGCCTTTGCCACCAAAGCTTTGCAGGTAGGAGAACATAAAAAGTACGAAGAGATATCTTCTTACCTCTTTGCAGCCAGTTTTATTTGAGTAACGGTGTTCTTGCCCATGAGGGGTAAGGCTGAGTTCAATTTCACTGTTCTATAATTAATTATACAGTTGACCCTTGAACAACAGAGGTTTGAACTGCGGAGGTCCGCTTAGTAGGCGGATTATTTCAACCGTATATACTACAGTACTACACGACCCCCGGCTGGTTGAACCCAAGGATCTGGAACCTCGGATCTGGAGGAACTGTGGGAATGGAGGGCAGACTATAAACTATATGCAGATTTTCAACCGTGGGGAGGTCCTCGCCCTTAGCCTGCACATCGTTTAAGGGTCAGCTGTATATTATAATAAAGGTGAAAACAAAGACGTTCCACCTGATGGCAGATGCCTGGTTGGAGTACATGAGAGGAAGATGCAGCCCCTTGCTTTCTTTGTGTTTAAATGATCTCTTGGTCAGAAATGGTTCGACTGTGTGGTTTCTAACTGCTGGGAAACTTTCACTTTTTCCATGAATTATAGCCCAGATGAAAATTGGCTGTGACAACACGGTGGTGCGCTTGGTCTCCAGTGGAAAACATATAAATCGTGTGACTTTTGAGTACCGCCAGCTGGAACCATATGAAATGGAAAACCCAAGTGGAAACAGTATCCAGGAATTCTGTTTGTCTAGTCTTTGAATAACCATGTCAGTGAGTTCCACGCTGCTAGCTAAATGAGTTTTTAATGGCTATTATATATGATTTTGATGACCAGCTAGTTAAGAGCCTTCCATACCAATCAGTATTCCCAACCTTGAGCACGTATCTCTCTCTCTCTCACGCACACACCCCCAACCGTGAGCACGTATCTCTCTCTCTGTCACACACACATACACACACACACACACACACACACACACACAAATTTTTGTACCTTGCTTCTTTTTCATTTGTAATGTATAAATGACCACATGGTGGAAAATGAGCCCCCCCTCCCTTTGGTAGAAAAACAGTTTTCTGTATTTCTTTGAAACCTGAGCTGGTAAGGCAAGTGCAAAGAAATGTGTAATGAAAAATTGTATCTCAAGGGAAAAGACTACAAAGAAATTAAAATGATAGCGTTCTTACCAGTTTTATACAGAAAACAAATGTCTGTGCATATCAAAGTAGTTGAATCTGTTTATTTATTTTCTGCTTATTATTCTGTTTACAATAGATAATCGTTGTACCTAGTATTATTCACTGGTTGGTTACACCTTGTTTTTAACAAAACACTGTAGCATGGGAAACGTTTTGCATCCGTAAATACAAACACGAATAAATATATTCAGAATGTTGGCACCTCAACATTGTGCTTTGTGTTCCGAAACAGTCCCCTCCCTTATTACCATCAGAAAGTAATGTTCTCAGGTGGTACAGAACCAAATGCTGAAATACATTATTTTAGACTTCTTAGAGCTCGGAGAACTCTGGGCTGTGGAATTGCATTTATTTTGAGCAGAGGTATAATTGCAGTGTTTGCAGGAACAGCACTAATTGATTGGTCCTGATAGGGAAGCAGGATTCGGGGATCCCTTCCCCACTGTCCTCCGAGAAAACTGAGAATCCATGTCTTTGTCACAGTGAATGTACTTGTCAACAAGGACAACAAAAACTTTAAACTCTCATAGACACAGTTTGCCGAAATCTGAGTACTTTTTTGGTACTGAAGGCAATTTACTGTTGACTGAGCCTTGTCCATGTTTGGCTTGAGACTAAGCATATGGTCTGTAAAAGACACCTTGGGGTCAAAAATGAGGTCCTGAACAACAAAGGAAATACTACTAAGTCAACACCCCTCTTTACTTTGTTTCTGGGTTTTTTTTCTGTGTATATGTATTTTTATTGAAGTATAGTCAGTTTACAATGTTGTGTCAATTTCTGGTGTATAGCATAATGCTGCAGTCATACGTGAACATACACATAGTCATTTTCATATTCTTTTTCACCACAAGTTACTACAAGATATTGAATATAGTTCCCTGTGCTATACAGTATGAACTTGTTGTTTATTTTATATATATTAGTTAGTATCTGCAAATCTCAAACTCCCAATTTATCCCTTCCCACCCCCTTCCCCTCCTGGTAACTGTAAGTTTGTTTTCTATGTCTTTGAGTCTGTTCCTGTTTTATAAATAAGTTAGTTTATCTTTTTTTATTTTAAATTCCACATATAAGTTATATTATATGGTATTTTTCTTTCTCTTTCTGGCTTACTTCACTTAGAATGACAATCTCCAGGTCCATCCATGTTGCTGCAAATGGCATTATTTTGTTACTTTTTATGGCTGAGTAGTATTCCATTGTGTGTGTGTGTGTGTGTGTGTGTGTGTGTGTGTGTACATATATACATATATATACACCACAGCTTCTTTATCCAGTCATCTGCTGTTGGACATTTAGGTTGTTTCCATGTCTTGGCTGTTGTAAATAGTGCTGCTATGAAGTTTGGGGTGCATGTATCTTTTTGAGTTAAGGTTCCGTCTGGATATATGCCCAAGAATGGGATTGATGGATTATATGGTAAGTCTATTTTTAGTCTTTTGAGGAATCTCCACACTGTTTTCCACAATGACTGCACCAAACTACATTCCTACTAGCAGCATAAGAGGGTTCCCTTTTCTCCACACCCTCTCCAGCAATTATCATTTGTGGACTTTTTAATGATGGCCATCCTGACTGGTGTGAGGTGATACCTCATTGTAGTTTTGATTTGCATTTCTCTAATAATCAGCAATATTGAGCATTTTCTCGTGTGCCTATTG